CGTGTCAAATTGGATCGTGTTTACCCCCGAAATAACTTTTGACGGCGCGCACGGGGGTGCATAAAGTTATTAGTTATTCCAAGCATCCCCCTCTCGCCTTACAACGTTTCCACTCCCTTAGAACGTTCTAATTACGTCATATGATGTCCCTCGACCTTTTTCTCTCCAAAAATCTCCCGTCGCTTTCGATATTTAACGATAAATGACGCCGACAAATAGCGAGTATCACTTATTCTGTAAAACACAATTGTAACATGGAGATGATTTTTTGGAGAAAAATCCTCTCCTGGTTTAAGGAGAGGATTTACCTCATTTGAGATAATAAGTGCACTGAGGGAAATGTCTGATGATACTAACCAGAATTCTATTTAGGTTTACCAAACAATATGGTGAATAATTGTGTAACAAGATATTTAGTCAATGATACTAAACTATCTGGTGAGCGCATTGTCTAAGTAACGTTACAGTAATGCTTAAATACATTTATCAAACCGTCTGGTACAGCATACAATTCATTTGGTGAATGTTATGAATACAGTTGTGAAATAGTTAGACTTCTTACCTAACCTAAAATCTAACCATATTATATATAATTTTCATATACTTACTGTATAATCTTCATATATTTACTTCTAAATTCGTCGATATATTTTAAGAAATTTCATTCTTCCAAATATTTGACGGTTTCAGCGTTTACTCTTTTGTAGCACCGACGTCTTTACAAATTAGTATTAGTAGATTAAAAAGGAAATGTGGCAGCGAGTAACAATTAACTATCGCGTCAATAGTATTACACGTCTAGAGAGAATTACCAAACTGTCTAGGTATCTACAACTAATGTCTCGACTACCTGTATTGACTACCTGATGCGTCGAGGCATCATAATCAGAATATTGGATATGTGAACCAGATATCGCATATAAATTCACCATATTATTTTCATAAGACGAGTGTAGTATCATTCACAAAGTTATTTCTCTCAGTGTGTACGAAACAACAGTATGTATTAAATAATATCATAGCGAGAAGTCGGTAAATTTTTGAAGCGTGCGCGCAATATCACGTGAAATATTCGATACACGACGTATCCGTGAGTCCTTATGGGATTATAACCGCGCATAGAGAGCGGCCTGGATGTTTAATATAGCTCTGCTGTAATATGCGCTATATACATAACTGCAAGCTGACGCCACGGATCGATGTTCCAGGCGTCGGCGCTGGTAAGCTTCGGAGCTTTCCGCCGTCATTTTCTGGAACAACCGATGCGATACGAGTAAAATCGCGCGCAAAACTAAGCATGTTTTATTCGCCTATATCCTATAAAAAGAAAGAAAAGGATAAGGATAATCGGCTGGAATTAACACACTGAGGGAAATGTCTGATGATACTAACCAGAATTCTATTTAGGCTTACCAAACGGTATGGTGAATAATCGTGTAACAAGATATTTAGTCAATGATACCAAACTATCTGGTGAGCGCATTGTCTAAATAGCATTACTGTGATGCTTAAATAAGTTTACCAAACCGTCTGGTACAGCATAAAATTGATAATTGAAATAATAAAACCTAACCTAAAATCTAACCATATTATATATATAATTTTCATATATTTACTGTATATAATATTCATATATGTACTTCTAAATTCATCGACATATTTTAAGAAATTCCATTCTTCCAAATATCTGACGTTATCTGATGAAGCGTCCATTCTTTTATAGCATCGACGTCTTTACAAATTAGTATAGATGAAAAAGGAAATATCGCAGGGAGTAACAATTAACTATCGCGTCAATAGTACCATACGTCTAGAAAGAATTATCAAACTATCTAGATGCCTACAACTAAATATCTCGGTATATTGACTACCAGATGCATCGAGGCATCGTAATCAGAATATTGGATATGTGAACTAGATATCGTATATAAATTCACCATATCACTTTCATAAGACGAGTATAGTGTCATTCACCAAGCCATTTTTTTCAGTGCAAGAATTCATTTTCAAGACAAATTCGAGCTTGAAATTCAAAGTCAGAGATTGACTCTATACTGAGAAAAAGAGATACTTAAAAATTTATTTGTGGGATATAAAGTTTATTTCTCTAAAACAATCTTTTATCCCACAAATACATTTTTAAGTACCTTCTCAGTGCAATTACGTCGATTTTTTTTATTTATTATTCTCATATATATTATAATACTTTTACATAAAAATATGCTTCTCGAATCGGAACATCTTTAAGTTGTAATAATTTGCAAAAGTTGTAGTTCACGTAAAAAATTCCAATCTTGTCTAAGATACGATTATTATTGCATTATTACTATTTTTATCGTTTATCCGAACTTTTAGAAATTAAATTGCAAAAGAAGTTGATTCACAAACGTTCATTTAATATTTCAATTGTTCCTTTAATATAGCTATGTTAAGAGGACATCTACTCGAGATTTGTCAAAAATATTATAAATTACAATACCTCGTATTACAATATATGGAGCAATATAAATATATGGAGAAACAGAGTAATTCTCGATAAATTTGTGAAAAGGGAAAATCGGATAATAGCGCGGACTGCGTAAACGCCTCTGCCCGTCGCCTTTTGCACGTGTTCGTCCGATCCGATTTTGATGCGTCGCTAACAATGCACCGACCCCGGTGCATCGTTGCCCGCAACGGGGTCACGCCTTTGAGCGAAATCACGGGATTTCGTCACGGATCTTTGCAAACTGTCCCGACGCTTATTACGCGGATTTGTCCCGGGTAACATCTGAACTGTTGCGACGACGCAAGATGTTCCAACGCGAGAAACCGACGCGCACATTATAAATATTGTAGTCAATGTAATAAAAGTAATTTCCTCAAGTCATAATCGAATATCAGAGAACTAAAGTTGATCTAACTTGCGATTTGTTGAAATAAATATAAAGTCGTACATATTGAAAGAGTAATATTGAGTATAGATCGTAATAATAAAATTAAGTAGATAAAGTTACGCAAATGTGGCCCATTCTTTGAATTTCTTTGAGTGAAATTTCACTCGGAAAGTAGAATGACAGTCGAATCGACCAAATTTGAATGACTTTTCAGTTATATATATGGAGAGAATATTACAGTTCCTTTCATATATAAGTTTTTTTCAATTTCAATTACATTTTCAATTTTATTATATTTCTATTTTTAGTCTAAAAATTATTCGAAATAAAATTTCGTTCAAAATGAATGAAAAGTGACAGTATCTTCACTCGAGCAGATGATGAAAATACCGCCACTTGAAACCAGGAGGTTGAATGTTCTACTTAATATTTTCAATTTAAATTGAAGAATGAATCTGATATACTTCATTCTTACTGAAATAAGTTCATTCATTCATGAATTAATTAATTGGAATTCTGACTGCGACGATTTTTCTTTCTTTTTTCTTTTATCTGCGTTTTCTGAACGTTTTTGACTTTCGACCAATGTTTATCTTTTTGTGACTATTTTAAATACCACTGAAGAGTGTTTGCGAATGAGATCGAAACGCGTATGATTGCTTTATGTATGCTCTATTAATAAATTTTCTTCCGCAACCTACGAAAAACATCCATTAATATTTTTATTAATTTGTACCGCACTAGTACATCTATGCCTAAACTCTTATAGACCCTATTTTAACTTCTGATTGAATTAATCGAAACATTCACTCGTATAGATTAAGAATTTACTCTAAGCTTGAGTTTAATATCTTCATTATTTATTATATATTATTTTATTTGAGTTGTTTTATTTATTTTATCTGTTATGTTTACTGTCGTTTCAAGTGAATTTTTACTCGTTCTGAGTGAGACTTTACTCCAAGAGAAATTTAGTGAAAGTTCCAATTCTGTTCTCTTCGTTATTGGACTATCTTGGCCAAAGGGGATCAAATCCCCAAGTCACTATTGCAAGAAGAATTACTGAGGACTATAAAGAGAAATCTTTTCTTCTTTAATTTAATTGAGAAATTCTATGAAATCGCGAAAGGACGTCTAACTTCCACGCGTTCACTTCCATTTAGACTTCTAATAGACTCTTCAGGTTCTCTCTAATTATTGGTTATCTCTGAGAAAAAGCTCCGATGAATAAGATCGAATTGTTACAAAATCGTAATCATCATCAGGTCGAAGCCGGAGCTTTGCGTCACACCGTTCGAGTTGATCGCTTCTACCTTCCATCTTTCCGGTCGATATCAGAAATTAGTTCTCTCTCTCCCTCTCTCTCTTTCTTTCTCTCTCTCTCTCTCTCTCTCTCTGACACTGTCTCTCTCTTAGCAACTCAGTAACAGCGTGGGCCGTATTCGAGCAAGCACCGCCCAATGAGGTAATATTGGGACGAGAGGATCCAATGTCACGACAGTGTCGGGACGCACGCGTCGTGCAACCGCGGCGAACAAGCTGCCGGTGAACCCGAGGGGTGGTCACCCCCATCCCCAACTCGCCCCGGGGTTGCTGCGAAATTTCGGAAGATGCGTGCGGCGGGCCAGCCGATCCGTCAGAAGAACGAGGCGCTCGAGCCCCGACGGGAACGTCGCAGGACGTCGTCCAAGTGCGCGCGCGGACAGCTACTTTTTTTTAATTTTTTTCCACCTTCTCGAGTGAAGCCTGCTGGTGCACCTGCTGGATAGGACAGCAAACGGGATATGAGCTACACCGAACCGCTGTGGGAGATCAATGGGAATCAAGCACCAGTGAGTCCACGTCGGGGTAGTGACTTGCGACGTGACGATACCTTTAGTTCGGATGGTCGCGACGAGAAGATATTGACTGTAAATGGTGTCGGTTGACTGGAATCGTTCATTATTATTTGATCTCTTGGATATAGAATCAGAAGAAAAAGCAAAAATCGGATCGGATACGCTCGGTTAGAATCGAAATACGCGGCGAGAGCGACACGACGCTCTTTTTTTATTGATTTGTCTTTAAAACGAAAGCATCGAGGAATGGCGGTCTAGTCGAAGATGAAGCGGTCCTGTGTAGCTTGCTGGAAGCTGATTATAGCCCACTTAGACTTTTCCTGGACGCTTCAAGTGCGTCATTATCAGCTTCCGACAAACTAGCGATCGCTTTATTTTCGACTGGGAGATACTCCAAATATATTTTGTGATATGATTTCTGACGAGATCTTTGGATTGTTGTGTCTTTTTCCCTTTTTCATTTTGGCAATTCGCGTCACTCAGACCGACCGATTCTCAGGTGAGATCTGTTGGCGATAGGTAATCGCGGCGGAAATGTCGCAGTACGTTGGCGGTGAGATTGGCAGCTACCCTATGTGGGACGGTTCCGTTTTGTACCAGGCACAGCCGCCTACTCATCCGCACGTGAACGAGCACGGATTGTACAGACAACCCTGTGCGTTGTTGCACCAGAGGTAATGTCAAAAGCGCGCGGCGAAAGAATCTTTCATTCGTAGAACCATCCTCTGAAATTTTCGAAATAACGCCGCAACGCAGCGTGCTGCACTTACAAGTATATATCTGTATGTCAGGTAGGTTATGCTACTAAGACGGGTGCATAGGCAACCTGTCGACCTGTATGTAAGCTACACTCTGTACAATGAGTTGTAAAACGATTTAGATACAATGAAGTTGGGAGCTCAAACTATCAAAATTGAGAATATCATTGTTATACATAACATTATTGTTATACAGGAGCTTGCCTATCATCATATAATTAATTATATTATTAGTATTATTATATAATTTATTATTATTTAGTATTCTTATAATTTACATTATTTATTATATTATTATTATGTAGATTCGTTGGTAATAACTCAAATTCTGATGGTTTGGTGAGTTCCTAACTTCATAATATGCCATTCTGGCATATTTTGCAAAAAGCGCGAATAAATAGGTAAATATTTTACTTAGCGAGTAGGTAACTAAAGAGTCTCTAAGCTATCGTTGCGGAAACATACTTGGTAACACGCTTTTTTGATCTTAGTCGTGATTAGATAGATTATTCGGTTATTATGATAACAATGATACTTTGGCAAACTAAGAATTGAAACTTCCAGTCGTTACACGCCGAACGGCCGTTCGCCCAACCTGCCGTCGTCGACGACGAAGAAGCCGAGGCGTCGAGTAGCGACGGTGTCCCAGAGGAGAGCCGCGAATATCCGAGAAAGGCGCAGGATGTTCAATCTGAACGAAGCCTTCGATAAATTGCGCAGAAAGGTACATCAATTTCGCTTATTCTTAGGACATAATATCTTCCTCGCGAAAATTGATCAGACAGCAGAGAGAAATCAACATTATTTCATCATTATTTCTCAAGTATCTTTTCTTTTCTTCTCGCAAACTCGCGCTGATTAACTTTTAATTTTGATAAGTCAACTAAACTTTAACCTAACTTCTGATTACGTTAGTTTTTGTTTGTGTGATCTTTATCTCGATTAAGTTAATTTTAAGAGCCGTCAACTTTAATGAGTAAAATCACTTTAGCGTTCGAAAATTAAGTGTATTTTTGGGAATGTTTTGTAGGCAAACAAAGAAATGAATCGAAAATCCGTTTGGAAGACTTTATTGTACATATTTTAAGATATATATTTAAATTGTTATGTTAACATATATTACAAAATGGTGGCGCTAAAGCCTTGTCAACATGAATGTATTTTTCTAAAGGCTAGCATCATAAGTATCGCAAACAAAAAACCGAAATTTTCCGTCATCTACATGCCAATAGCTAGAGAAATACGTAGGGGGTTTTTGATACATTGAAAATTACGTATTTTATAAGCAATTTTCGACAAAATTTTTAGAATACAAAATTAAATTTTTTCTTCAAATGCGTGCCATTTCTAAAAATAAATATTTAAAAAATCCCTTATGTGCTTTTCTAACTATTAGCATGTAGGTAAACGGAAAATTTTGGTTTTTTGTTCTAAATTAATATTTGCGATGCTTATGATGCTAGCCTTTAAAAAAACGCGCTCATGTTGACATGGCTCTAGCATCGCCATTTTGTAATATATGTTAACGTAAAAATTTAAATATACACTTTAAAACATGTACAATAAAGCCTCCCAAATGGATTTTCGATTCATTTCTTTGTTTACACACAAAACATTTCTAAAAATATGCTTAATTTTCAGACGCTAAAGTGATTTTACTCCTTAAGCTTAGTTTAGTTAAAATATAATATTAACTCATCCAGTCCTAATTACACGCATACAACTTAATGAGACATAAATGAAATGATCATTAAATTATCGGCATTTAACTTGTCTATAATAAGAGCATTTTACGTTCAGGTGCCGACGTTCGCTTACGAAAAACGCCTGTCGAGAATCGAAACGCTGCGCTTGGCGATTACATACATCGCATTCATGGGCGAGCTGCTCGGTATCGAGCCGAGCAGCCCGAAGCAGGAGTATATACCGCGGGAGTATTACCTGCCGAACTGAATCTGTCTTCTAGTTCAGCCAGACGACGAATCAGATGACGCCGAGCTCGACGTGGTCGCGACGAAGTCGTGTCTCTTGTCTCCTTCATCTGCATGGAGCGCCTCGTCAATGCTCGAACGCTCCTGACCGACGAAACTGACGATTAATAAAAAAAAGTCTTCCATTATTGATTAGTGTTATAGTGGTTAAGTGACGAAACGCAATTTAATGCATGTTCGTGTGTGATATTCTCGTTCTCCTGTAACGCTATCGGATCCTTTTATCGAGCGTTATCGCTGATCCTTTCGATTCTACGATCTCTTCATGTTCCTCGGGAATCGATATTGCTCACGAAGAAAAGAGGAAACGATCATTCTTTTCGGTCCTGCGGGGTGATAAGATTTTTCGAGTTTCTCCTTGGGATATATCTCGATCGTATCAAAAGAACTCAAATCTGTCTCCTTCTAATCCTGTATTACGTGGCCAACGATCTCGTAATGCTTCATCGTCATGATTATCGTGGATCTTTTGCGATTAGATGTCGCTGACTGCGATAAATTAAGTGACAATATTAGATTAAACTTCTCTGTCTTCCACTATTCGTAATACGTTGTATACTATAAAATGACGTTTGGACGGTATTTGCAGCGGAGTAAAGAATTGTCATTTCGGTCTTCAGTGAAGCAAATAATTCACGGAAACTTGTAGTTTTAAAATTGACGATAATAAATTAACTTTCCCGATGTTGAGCGAAATTCACTCTTCTGGTCGAAATTATTCTCACGGTAACACAAAGAAGCTACATATTACGCAGCTGCAAATACTCACCGATTTTAACAGATAATAATGGCTGAATATTGCCGATTACTGCGTGGAAATAAATGAGTGTAGTGTGTAAAAATAAGTTGAAATAAAATTTAATAATAATACCATCCGAGATAACTACTTTGCAACAGATTAAAGAAGACGAAATGGGTTCCAGCTGTATGCTTTTATATTATGTCAAACTGAACAAAAAAGTTTTCTATCTTTCACTAATCTTCTTTAATTAATATCTCGATATTTATTGCGAATATCGCAAAACAATATAGGATTTTTATGTTTACCTCAATCTGTTCTACCTTCCAATAAAAATTATGGAGGAAAGTCTGGAACATTATATATATATTCTGTATATACACTGTTAGAAAATTTCGTATTAAATTTAATAACTGGGATGTGAAGTTTTTTTTACATAACTATGTTATATATATAAAAAGTAATAGTAAAATCAATATTAGAGTACAGCGGATTAAATTGAATAGCGGAGGAATTTGGATAATATTAAGCGTTTGCGACAATTTCAGAAAAATATAAAGCGCCTTGTTTTATGTTTGAGGTTAGCATGCTATATATTCATATTTTTATACTATATATCATATTTTTCTGAGATTGTCGCAAACGCTTAATATTATCCAAATTCCCCTGCTATTCAATTTATTCCGCTGTACCCTATATTTAATAACACAGTTATGAAAAATCATAATTATCGATCAAAATCACAATATAGCGATGTACAACTTCTACGATAGTATAAAGGAGAACCGATGAAGAAACTTCTGGATAGCTCCGTTGAAATCTCAATAAAGGCCACGATGCTTTGCAAATTGAATCTTTTAGGGCACGTGACCGAAATAGCCTCGTATTTATGATATATTAGAAAAATTATTCTAACATATCATAACATGTTATAATATTTCATGATTTAATATGGAATTGAATAAGAAAACATGGAATATAAGATAGAAAATATTAGATTTTATAAGAAATATGAAATATTATAATTAATTTTTAAACTAATAATACTAATAATACTAATTATGAAAATCTTTACTATTAATTTTAATATCAAATTTTTAAATTTACTTACAAAAATGCTATTATTTTTAAGAACTCTTTTAACAGTGTATATATAATATATCTTTGTAATACAATCTTATAAATTTTTCTTATATAACAAGAAGTTATGTCGGCTCTAAAATTAAATAAAATTAAAAATCTAAGAAGGACAAAAGAGCCAAAGATGCAGATATTGTACGCTATAATTTAATTACGTGTAATTTTACATAAAACCGTATGATGCGGTCCTCTTCAGTCAAAGTTGGTGCCATAAAACGTCAATAGATGATTAAGTCGCAGGGAAAGTTCTCATAATTTTACAGCTGTGTAAATTGTGTTCCACAGAATCTCAATTTTTAACATCTCAATGTTTGCTAGCTACGTAAGAAAAATTAAGATGATAAAACTCGTATCAATACACAATTGAGAAGTGTAACATATTAGGAATACATCTGTATTCTCACCAAATAGATAAAAACCTGCAACTTTATCATTTATTGATGTTTTATGGCACCAACTTTGTCTGAAGAGGACCGCATCATACGGTCGAAACGTTTTATGTAAAATTATAGACGTAATTAAATTATAGCGCACAACACCTGTATCTTTGGCTCTTTTGTCCTTCTTAAATTTTTAAACTTTTCTTATTTCTTCAGAGTCAATTTTTCCAGATCCCCAACGATTTCCTACCAGATGATGGCTTGTCAAAATCTACTTTAACCACGGCATGTAATCAGCATTCCAGTCATGAAGAACACTGCACGCACATCAACTGATATCGATATCACGTGTCGCATCATGTTATCAATGGAAACTGCAGCTGACGTTATCAGCGCCATGGAAGAGCACTCAGCTAGCTTTGCTCGAAATAATCGTACCTTACTCGACGTCGGTACGTAAGCATTGTATTGATTTCATATCCCGTGTCAACACCCTCCTTATCGACCTTAAGCAACCTTTAGTTGCCGCAGGACGAATCGCGCGAAAAACTGTCGAGGACGACTCTATAGGATGTAGTCGTTACGAGGGGTTAACCGAACCTATCGGGGAACCGGTAGCCACCCAAGAAGGCGGCCTCCTTTCTCTGCAGGCCGACTCGCCGGCCATTTAATAGGACCCCTTTCCGTCCTTTTTTTTCTTGATTCCTCTTTTTATGAATTTTTCTTTTTCGCTCAAGGTTGCACCGCCGCGACCGCTCGGACAAGTAAGGAGACAAGACGAAGGAGAGAGAAAGAAAGGAAGATTGCGCGCTGAGGGAGAGGATGTCGTTTAGCTCTCGGACGATGTGGGTGAGCTTGTTAGGCTGACGTCTCAATTTTAGCGTTCTCGATCGGGAGAGGGGGGGAATCCAGGGGGAAGCCGAGGAACTGACACGTGGAATGGCCAGAGATATCGAGGGTGGACCCCGTGCGCGTAAGCGCACGAACGTCGGCCACACGCATTCACCTTTTGCGCGTGTACGTGTATTGGCACTGCGTTGTACATGAACGCGGTACGCGCGTACGGACGTATGTACACACGTATTCCAGATACCGCGTTCGGAATAAAGACAAGACGTCCGAAGACAAGAAGATAAAGTACAAGCCAGAGAGATCAGCGGGTGGAGGATAAAAGGGCTTTCTCTTTCTCTCTCTCTTTCTCTGTCGGTTCGCGGGTGAATGGGAACAACGAGGGAGGAAGAGAGACAACGGTGGTGGCATCGAGGGTGAACCCCTCCGGGGAAAAGAAGAAACGAAGATAGGAGTCTTGGCTCATAATAGGTGGAGAGGCCGGCGCCTCTCGTAGCATCACCACGTGGCATGCGGCCAACTACTGTCTCCTGATCAATATGCTTACGGCTACCTCGCCTCTCTTTCTATCCCTTTCCTCTCGGCGTCTCCCTTTTGCGCCTCTCTCCGGCGGCGAACGGATCAGGCGTTCGTAGCCGCGGCGTGGCGCGATGCGACGCGATGCGATGCGATGGGATACGATGTCGAGGAGAAGGCCTTCCGACGCCGAGTCGACTCGACTCGCCGAAGGGATTGAGAATCGCCTCACCGTCCTTCCTCAGACCGCGCTGTGTCGTGATTGATGAGCTACCGCGACTCCCGATTACTCGAGATGCATGGAAATGCCCGTCGATTACAGCCTTGCCGCGTGCGCGACGCTCTTCAGTATCGAGGACATCCAAAAGAGGAAAAAGAAACAGGAATAACACGTTAACATTGTATTGCACCGGGTGATCAAAGCTGTCCAAATTATGACACTACACTGTGAGAGGAAAGTATTTAAAAAATATTAAATATTTACTTGATGAGTACTAATAACATGTTTACTTAATTTTCTTTTATTTAAATAGGATGAACGATTACTTTCATGAGAGAAAAGAGCTAAGGTTTTTTTGAGATTTCTAGGAAAATGTATATTTCCTTATTTGAAAAATATAATTTACTACACACGAGTAACTACAGACGTGATCACGAGTAACGGAACCCTTGCATATCATCGAGACTCCAACATTAGTTTCTCGCCTCTTCTGCCCGGGGGAACAGAGGGTTGTGACCGCAAGCGCCCTATTTTCGGAGCTTGCAGCGGCACGCAATAACGCAGCCATTGTCGCGGGTAAATATGAAGTATCATTCTCGCATTTTCCAGCGACATAATCTCGGGTCAAGAGAACAAGTCGCCTTCAAAGAGTCCTCTTGCCCCCGCAACCGAGATAAATATCCGCCCCCGAGGCTTTGAGCTATCGCGTGGGTGGAACAAATTGGTCATTCGTTTCTACTTGGGCGTTATCTTATCATCGGCGAACTTTTCGCCGTGATATATCGCCGGTGCCTAACAGGTGGTCCCGCTCGTCCCGAACGCTCCTTCACGCCCGACATGCCGTTAATGAGCCCCTAGATGAGCCGAAATCATCACCGGAGCCGCGACTCGAACGCGATACCACGCGTCGACCACGTGGTGAAAACATTCCGAGTGACCCCTCGTGTGTGTTTTTCCTCTTCACCCTTTTCTTCTCTGTCTGTCTTCCTCGTGCTTTTCAGAAATTGATGACAGTGTGAGTAACGAACACATCGAGGGTGCACCGACAGCGCGAACCTGACGGAAGTCTTCCTCCCCTTCTTTCCTCCTCGTTATCTTTTACCACCCTCCACTTCTTAAATCATCATCCGACCCTGGAGGAATCGTGCGCGCGCACTATCATCATCGTGCCGAGACTCTACACCACCCATACGCACACAAGCGTTCAAAGAGTCTTTCGTATTTACGTGCACCCGAGTATGCGTGTGTACACGGTGTGTACGGAGGCTTTAAATATCTCAGCGGCATTCGCGGCATCGCGAGGCGAGCGAGAGAGGGTGATGGAGAAAGAGAGACGAGTAGCTATCGCGTTATAAGGGACCACCTATATAAAGTTACCGAAGAGTTTAGTCGGCCGTTGTAGTACCTATATCGCGGTGGGTGGATGGACAGTATCTCGTTGGTCGTTTGACACTGTCGGTGATGGTGCTGGTGGTGGTAGTAGTGGGTGGTTGGCGGTGGTGGTGGTGGTGATGGTGGTGGTGGTGATGGTGGTGGTGGTGCTGTGCTACCGCTGCTGCTGCTGGTGCTGCTGGCTGCTGCTACCGTTGCTCTTCTTCCTGCTGCCTCGCACGGTACGGCCGTGATGGTGCGGCGGTGGTGGTGCCGGTATCGGTAGTGGTGGTTAGTGGTGGTGGTTGCCCCTCAGTGTCCGGCGCGCCTCCGACAAGCGTGCTTCGGTCGTTACGAGAGATCCCTCGGCGCTCCGTTCACCGCGGATGACATCGGCTGACTCGCCGCCGTCGCGTAACAGACAGACGGTTCAGGATCAGGATTATTAACGACAGGTGGGACGAGTGGCAGGCGCAACAGGAGAAGGAAGAGAAGAACCTGCCGGGGAGGTTGGAGGGTCGAGTCCTACGGTCGTGTAAGCGTGATTACGCGGATCCGTCAACGTCGGATTGCCATCCTCGTCGTCTTCGTCGTCGTCGTTGCCGTCGTCGTCGTACGGTGAAAAGGATGCGATTAACGTCCGCTTCGCTTCGGTGTTCGTCGTCGTTGACGGGGTTCGCGGTCGTACACTCGCCGTGGTTCGCGCGGCTCAGGACCCAGACGGGCCCGCGACGTTTGCCGCATGCGGCAAGCAGGCAAGGTAGTACATCCTGCTAATCGCCGAACCGCGATCCTACGAGCACGCGGAAGGGGTGGACTTCTGCGAGCGCCTAACATCCGTCCGGACGGTGATCCGGAGGGACCGTGCACTCTCGCAGCGTGTGGGTCTCTCGGGTGGAGTGCCCGAGGGTCGAAGCCGCGCACGGAGTCGCGCCAGACTTTTAAATGGTGCATTATTATTCCGGGGATCTTAGCCGTAGTGAAGAGTTAGGTATACATAGGAAGTACCCGAGAAAGTCGAGAAGACCCTAGTCGATAGCGAGCGACGTCGCCGCTTCGTTCGTTCCGAGGAGCCGGCGTGACAGAGAGAAAGAGAGTGTGAGAGAGAAAGACAGAAAGAAAGAGAGAGTGCGAGAGAGAGAGAACGAAAGAGAGAGAGAGAGATAGAGAGAGAGAGAGAGAGAGAGAGAGAGAGAGAGAGAGAGAGAGAGAGAGAGAGAGAGAGAGAGAG